TAAGAGTTGCAATGAGGCATGTAAAACCGACTTTCAGAAGTGTATATGATGGAGTGCCGGTCAGTTCCATTAGATATAGTGGTTCGGACATTCCCATTCTCCATACTGAAATTCTTAATCTCCCCTTCGAGTCACATAACTTCATATGTCAGTGGAAGACTGCATACACTGTTCCATATTTTAAAAGAGGATCTAAACTAGACGGAGACAAATATCACTTAGTTAACTACACATCCATCTTGCCTAGAACTTTGAAGAAGGTTATTGCAACGTGATTGGCAATCATCCAGACAGGCACTGGTTGATTATATCGTCGCATCATGGATTCATTTTCAACAGTTACACGTAACCTGTCATTTAGAATATTTTGATTACATCGCAAAAAATAGGGGTTGAGGGAAATTACTTTTTAATCTATACCTTGAATTCACTGAGGTGTTTGCGAAAGTGCAATACCCATCTTTACAATTTGCATTAGAGCCATTTAGGATGACAAATATAATGCATAACTGTACGACACGCGTTTCGAAGTACCGAACCCAGATGGTGAAAATAAAGCATCACATCTCCGACCCTCGGGACATCATCATCAGTGTCCTCTAGGGCTCGGTAATCAGGCCTCTCTCTTTCTCGGTGTAGACTATATATGCAACTGCTTTTCACTAGACGAAATCTTGATATCTAACCCATAATGCGAGCGCTTTAACTATCTGATTTGCTTGTAACATGGAACTGATAGAGATAGTGTATTTCAACTATGTGCTTTGGCCAAAGCAATATTCATACTTACCACAAACGTAAGAGAGCTCAACATCACAAAAGGAGGGAGGGTGGCGCTGCCGACCAGCAAACATGACGGTGGGGAGACAACTTCAATCCACCCATGTCAGTAGGGCAGAACATTTTGTTAAATTACGGCTCCTTATGGTCTTGTGGAATGTCACGAACTAATGGTGTTGATGCTGATTTATCATGCAAAATACCTCATTAAATCGTGTTAAGAACGTTGAATTAGTTTCACTTTCTACCCAGTAGTCCTATTCAAGCAAACTAGGCAATTCGCTAAAAACGAAGCCTACTCAAGACCCTATAAAATCTAAAAGAAGGCTCCAATAGCGTCGACGGAAAAAGGGAGACAGCCATTTGTGTATCGTAATACTGTTTTTAGCACTATATTTTATAACTGCACATAATTCCATACTCTCCGTTTCTTTCTGAACCACCCCCATTTGTCAGTTGTTATTCCGCTCATACCTTGTTTAAACTTATTTTCTGTAACCTGTTAGAATGCTCCTGCTTAATAAATACTTTAATAAAAGACAATTAGACTGAGTAGTCATGCCTTAACTATTTCTTCATGAACATCGTCTGCTCTGTTTCTCGCCTTTTTTCTTGCACCATTTTTCTAGCCCTCTTGAGATACGGAACGGGTGACCTCGTCCCGCACCTACATTAAGGCCCTAGATATTCTAAAGGAAAATAAGGTTTCGATTTCTAGAAGCCCCCAACTTCACATGAATCTATTATCGATCATCAGTTGCACGTCTCAACGCAACTTTCATGAAGCGCGCCAACTGTGATACTGGCTAAAACCATTTACATTCATATCTTGTAAATTATCAACCCAGCTGAGTAATTCAATGGAAATTGTATCATTTGTAACAATTTGATCTTGCTTGGCATGCCTCATGTAATAAACTGTTATTTGAGAATAAATTATTATTATTATCATGACTTCCACTATAAGGGATCCAAAAGGATACTCCGTGAGGTGGGATCAATATCTACTGGAATGCCGCGTAATCATATTTAGTTGTATGCATTTCCTAGATCGGCAGAAAATCGAGAAAGCGCAAAACCACTTTACGAGACTTCTTACTCCCGATCTATCCTATGAAGGTAGATGTTAAGCATAGAATCTGAATCTCTCGTAGCTTGGACGAATTAAACTAAATCTTACTTTACTCTTCTGAACTGTACGCAATGAAACTATAATGAATTTCGACACCTTAAAATCTACCTAAAGTAGTAAATATGACCCTTAAAGTCAGAATATCGTCGTAACGATTTTGAGGAGTTCAGGTTAATTAAGGTCCTCTTTCTCCATCACATGTTGTGTGAGTGATGTGTGGGCGAGAGTGATCACGATTGGTTGTCTGCTTAGTCAAACATGTAGACAGTCTGACAGGTGTCAGATAAGTTATATATTCCCTTTCCTTTCTTATTGTAACGCACTTATTATTGATTGTTCATTGTTGTGGATTGTGTCGGCTTTTGGTGTGAAAATATATATTTACGTTCTAGTCAGGCTAATAACGTGTTCTTGATCTGAGTCGTGTTGAAGTCCTGTAGAATAGACACTGGTAGGGATCTAGTGTAGATAATCGTTTAAGACGAAGTAATACCGAGCGTTATAACAGTGAGCCCTCAAAATAAGTTGCCGAAAATTATCTAGGCAAGCAAAACGGTTTCATAGAACTACAATCCGAAATATCATCCTGTTTAACAATCCTAAAACCAAGCAAATTAGAAACCAAGAACGACCCGATGCAAAGACTTACCCGTCGATAATTATCGATGTTTCGAGATGTATAGTGTCTAAGCCGATTAGTTGTCGTAAGAAGTGCTCAGCATGATGCGCTCAATCGTGATCCAGCATTAATGTTGACCGATCGCCTTCTAGCAGAGATGTGTCCAGCCGAAAATAACGTGTAACAACCCAGTCAAAAGTAAATGTTGATGTCATTGTTACTAGTGCTCTAAACACTATGCGTGCAACGCCGATGAATCATTGGTCTGATACGAACTATCTATTTTCATTCCCAAAGTGAGGCTAAAGACGACACCCTGCCGATCTCCTTGTAGCCGAGTTTGTGAGAGCGACATACTGAATAGAATTGACGACTAATCCGCAACTGCCTTCCGTAATTTTAACGATGTCTTGAGCAATCAATCAGACCCCTCTTCAAATGGCCGAACTTTTCACTTCCGTCACCTTTAGGGACCACAATGGAGGAGGTACCACGTTCTGCACGGTTTTGTACTAATTTCGTTGTGATCTTTGCTTCACCTTGCATAAGTTCCCCACTCACATTATGCTGGTGAGATTTACACTGTTCATGTTTGTTGAACTACACTGCTCCTATTTTCATGGTACCATAGGTGTTATTTACTTGTGCTGTTAGCTTATGAGTTTTAGTTACTGTAAGAAGCTAGCCGATTCCCTCGTTTTCAAGTTCCTGTGATGTTAAACTTTGATCATAGCTTTATAATGTGTCTATGGAAGCGGGTGTGTTATTTTAGTACACGACGTTTAACGAGCATGAAGTACCAGAGCCTGGTAGTTGGTAGTTAGTTAAAAATAGCAGTAATAAAACTGATCCGAACAGTCTTTAGGTTCACTTTTGACACAAGTAAGTGAGATGACACTATCTCTGCGATTCCATCGTACTGCGTGAGTTTGTTTGATTGATACTTCGAATTTATCGGCAGATTCTGACCAGTATCCCAATCTGTGCATGACAAAAATTTCCAAGCGTATGGTTAATTGCCATTTTGTTGCCCAACTTGTGCATCGAGTCTATCGGCTTAAACTCTTTCTCAATATATGTCTGTTGCCCTTCAGGTGGATATTTGTCTTGGCAAAACATACTCCTCAAAAAAGGAAAAATTATTGACGTCCATAGATACGATATTGTAATTCAGAAATGTGTCGACAAGTCATGTCTTCACACTTTCTTTTGATAGGCCTCTGTAATCCGCTATGGATCAAGTGGCCGCTCACTCATTTGTGGTCGTAATAATGTTCGCGGCAAGTTATCCCGGTGACATTAATTTGTAAGTAAGTGCTTTGTATGTGGGATGTAGATGCGCTACCTGGGTCCAAAATGAATTGCAAACTGGCGAAACGGTTCCTAAAGTAAAGGAGAGGTGATTCTTCACTAGTTCTAGGTGCGTCTTATTAATTACGAACCAGATACTACGAAGCCACTCATATGTTGCCACATAATTAACGACTACGTGAATCACTTACAATACTTAAGTTTATGCATGTAACGGAAGTCAAAACCACCATGGGAGAACTATGTTGTTAACTTTACCGGGTCAAAGATTTAACATTTTACTTGATGGTATAACTACTCAACAGATACCAGATAGTAAACAATTAGGCAGACCATTATTACAGAACCTACAGTACTTATCTTGAGTTCTGGTGCTGTGATCTCCTGCATACATATTCGAGCACAAACAAAGTCCCTGTTCTTTAGTTGTCTGTATTATGCGTAAAATTACAACAACGGGACGTAAAGAGCAATAGGTATTTTTCTTACCGTTCTAGCAGTACCAGACGCCCTTAATAAATTATTTAACGGATAGTGAACAGACACTAGATACGACAAGCTTAATACTAGGCTACTTATTGCTTGAAGAATCCATAAACTTACTACTCAGCATATTCTGAGTCCATCTCTCCAACGCTCTGGTGGTGACTCAGAATTGACATAGCATTTAATAATTCAGGAAAGCAGTTGAATAACGAATGTCGAAGGACCAAGCAAAAGTATATGTATGACGCATATATTTCAAGTTACTCATACACAACTTTATACTTTGGTGCCTAGAAATATCTAGACTAGATTCCTTCATATTACTCCACTGTTGTTTGAGTCAGTTTCAATTACTCAGAAATACATTTCGCTGTTTTTCCCGGAGATTTAAAATGGAGGGTTGGGACTTCACTCGGAAACATATCATTGATAAGTATGAGTTCAGTTTAAATTAAGATTATTTTCAGCATTCCTTCTGAAAGAGGAATAACAGAGTGTAGTTATGATGGAAAAAGCTGTATTTACATTAGAGGAATCAAGACAAATGTCATTACCACAAAACGTCACGATGACAGTGATATTCGCATTCTGATAATACAACAGTCTGAAATTTCACAATTCACCCAACAGTTATCGAGGTTCAAACATGCGCAAGTACTTATCCTTAATCAAATGTCTTTGGATTTGTTACCAATCTGCATTTGTTCATTCAGCCATCTTTCGTTGTTGGATATTTCAAACAATTGTTTGAGCAGCTTACCTGAGGATATCATTTACTTGACTTCACTTACGTTGCTGAATGTTTCGAAAAATTATCTGGTGGATATCACTGCTATATGCGAATTATCACACCTACAGTCTCTTGATGTTACTGATAATAAGTTAACTGAACTCCCACGGTCATTTTGGAAGCTTGGAGGATTAAAATCTTTTTCTTGTTCATTTAACAAGATTGTTTGTCTTCCAGAAGAAATTGGGTGTCTGAAATTTCTCACAGCTTTACGTATAATGAATAACAAACTTTCAACCCTTCCTCGCTCTTTCTCGAATCTAACTGGTTTACTGCTTTTACAACTTGATGGAAATGTTTTTGACCACATTCCTCTGCAAATTTTCAGTTGTACCTCTTTGTTGGAACTGAGTTTATCTCATAATGTAATAGAGGGCAGTGTTCCAGCTAAAATATGTTCACTGGTTAATTTGCGTACTTTGAATTTAGCATACAATAGAGTAATTAATTTTCCAGTAGAATTCAAACAGCTAGAATCTTTGGAGTACTTAGATATTAGTGGTAATCCAGTGGAACCCTCCACAATTTCTTTCGGAAAACTCATTCAGATTCAGCAATTTTCTGCATCGAAATGTGGCTTATCATTTGTTCCTGATGATCTTAGTTTGTGTTTAAATCTTGTTATTCTTGACCTCAGCGAAAACAGAATAGGGAAACTGGCTAACGAGAGTCTCGGTTTTTCTCAGTTAACTTCGTTGTGTCTAGCGTATAATATTATTTCCACTCTACCATTTTTAATCTGTGAACTCAACAATCTGGTGGTTTTGGAGTTACAGTTTAATAAATTAAGTTCGCTTCCAGAGGATTTTGAGAGATTGTCAAACACACTTCGCCAGTTAGATCTTGGTCATAATGAATTCGAGGTTATTCCTATGTCCCTGTTCTGTAGCAGAAGCCGTTTGTCGTATTTGTGTTTGGACGCTAATCCTATTTCAGAAGTTCCAAATGAAATAAGCAACCTAAAGGAACTTACACATTTATCTATATCAGACTGCAGGCGATTGGAGTCTTTGCCTGAAGGCTTAGGGTCGTGTACAAATCTTCGTACACTTAAAGTTTCCAAAAACAAGTTATCGTCTCTTCCAAAAACTCTCTCTAAGCTGGAATCACTTAAGTATTTGAATCTCTCAGATAATGACTTCAAGCATTTTCCGTTAGTTGTTTGCTCTATATCAAGACTCCGTGTGCTTCTCTATGATCAAACGGAAGGCAGACCACTGCTACCTCCGGAATGTCCTAATGGATGGTATCAGAAAAGCCTACTACTTTATCCTGAAATAAAAGACTCATTTGATTCAGAATACGAAAGTTATTCCGAGGAAAATTTAGGAACTGTTTTACTGGAAAATACGTTGTCAAAAACATCAGCTGTCGGTGGTTTGCCATCAATAATTGGAAATCTTACACATCTGGTTCATTTATCCCTTCAGTCAAATGGGTTGTATATGTTACCCGATGTATTTCATAATATGATGTTACGGCGACTAAACGTCAGTCATAATCGCCTACGATGTCTACCTCCAAATTTACACAGGTCCAAGTATTTGACACATTTATATCTGCACAACAACAATATTGATTATCTGGATCAAAACATTCGGAACTTGAGGACTCTGAACATATTGACTCTTGGTCAGAATCCACTTTTGTATCCTCCAGTGGAAGTTTGTGAAGAAAGGGCTTTTCCAGTGTATTCTTACCTAAGGAACTACAAAACGTTTGATGGTAAGTGCTGTAACTTCGTAAGCAAAGTTTTGTATGAGATCTCTAGGTGACTTTAAAAGCAAACTAACAATGCCAATCATTGTTGTTCACCATAAAGCTTATCATTCTTTATCTCTTCATTATGGTATAACATACCATAACTCATCATGCTTGTTATGATGCTAAACCACACGAAAATGGTAAGCTAGATAAGTCTGTGTAATATTTCCCATAATAACACCAGATACTGGGAGCTTCTATCTAGCTGACTTACTCCTTATAGAAAAATGTAATGTGCAGAGTCACCCCAAAAGCGCTATATAGGATAGACTTTCGAACAACATGAACGCCCTTAGAAAAAATAGTCAAGAACCAAGTAAGTAAACATTTGGCGTTCAGCTTTACATCATACTTACATAAATTTCACGTAGGTGCTTTTGTATTAGCAACAATACTACTACTAATACTCTGATATTGAACTTGATAATTTCATCCCGTTGCGCTAATGTTATATAGCAACTTGGACCAGCTTATACATTTGCCAGATTCTACATTGCTTATGAATGATTAATCAATAGACACATTTTCAGTTAGTTTAAAAACTCACTTTAGAAGCAAAATAAGCGATAGTAGAAAGTGAAAGTTAGTGAAATATGTTGTAACAAATTGTTTGTGAAGAAAATATATGTGACTGAACGGAGGAATACTATACGTAACATGCGTTTCTTATTAATTTTCAGGAGTCTTGTTTACATAAGCCCTTGTAATGAAATTCACTCCTTTGAAATACCGTGATAGATTCCGGTATATAATCTATAAATTGTAGAAATCAAACTGTTATCTCACGTGAAACAATTGGTCCCTTTGAGAAATTTTGATCATACATCAAGAGGACGAAGGTTTTCAAGTTTATGTGACATATTTGCACAATACATTTCGAACAATCGGATCACACATACTTGTTGGACAATTAAAAGGTACTTACTTACTTACTTACTTACGCCTGTTACTCCCAATGGAGCATAGGCCGCCGACCAGCATCCTCCAACCCACTCTGTCCTGGGCCTTCTTTTCTAGTTCCACCCATTTCTTGTTCATTTTTCTCATATCTATCTCCATTTCCCGGCGTAATGTATTCTTTGGTCTTCCTCTCCTCCTTCGACCTTGAGGATTCCATATTAGGGCTTGTCTTGTGACGCAGTTCGGTGCTTTCCTCAATGTGTGTCCTATCCACTTCCAGCGCTTCTTCCTGATTTCTTCCTCCACTGGGATCTGATTTGTTCTCTCCCACAGTAGGTTGTTGCTTATAGTGTCCGGCCAACGGATCCGAAGTATTTTGCGTAGACAACTGTTAATAAACACCTGTATCTTTTGCACGATGGATTTCGTAGTTTTCCAGGTTTCCGCCCCATACAGTAGAACTGTCTTGACATTTGTATTGAAAATTCTGACTTTGGTGTTGGTCGCTAATTGTTTTGAGTTCCAGATATTCTTCAGTTGTAGATATGCTGCTCTTGCTTTGCCAATCCGTGCCTTCACATCTGCATCAGATCCACCGTGTTCATCGATGATACTGCCCAAATATGTAAAGGTTTTTACATCTTCCAAAGCTTCTCCGTCAATTGTGATTGGATTGGTACATGTTGTGTTGTATCGAAGAATCTTGCTTTTCCCTTTGTGTATATTGAGACCTATTGCTGCTGAGGCTGCAGCTACACTGGTTGTCTTCTCCTGCATTTGTTGTTGTGTATGCGATAGAAGAGCCAGATCATCTGCGAAGTCTAGATCATCCAATTGCATCCTAGCTATCCACTGTATCCCGTGCTTCCCTTCAGATGTTGATGTCTTCATGATCCAGTCGATCACCAGGAGAAAGAGAAAGGGTGAGAGTAAGCAACCTTGCCTAACACCGGTCTTTACTTCGAACGACTTTGTCAACTGTCCTCCATGCACGATTTTGCAGTTTAATCCATCATAGGAATTCTGTATGATATTGACTATCTTCTGAGGCACGCCGTAGTGTCGAAGAAGCTTCCATAGGGTTGTTCTGTCCACGCTATCAAATGCTTTTTCGTAGTCGATGAAGTTGATATAGAGTGATGAATTCCATTCAATTGATTGTTCCACAATGATCCGTAGAACAATTAAAAGGTAAGCGAAAGCAAATAATAATTCAGTACACAAAAAAATGTAAAGACCATGCTGAATAATAAATCAGTATTACCAGGGTAGGTTAAGGGTAAAAACAATTTGTTTTTGAACACATAAAGTTTCGATTTTCGTATAGCCAAGGATTAACTAAACCTTGGTATATACCCCTAAATGCTTTTGTACGAAACTATAAAGGCTGACTTGATATCAACCTATTGACCGGTCTCAACTAAATGTTTGGCAACGAAGGAAGATGTTTGTCTACCCTGTGATCTTATTTAGCAATTGGGATTCATTTGTTTTTGCAGCCATTTAGGTATGTGTTCAGTCATCCTTGCTTGGAGATCACGGTTGCTTCTTTCCACATACTTATTTCCACACATACATGTAAGAAGATTAATCATATATTATGTGACTATATCTCATTAAATAATCTTCCGTTGGTTTTTCCTGTTAAAACTCTTGAAGATTTATTATCATTATGTGAAATTCACTTTTGACGATGAGCACTTTCGATAGATTGATGGTGTAACTATGAGTAACCCTTTAGGACCGTTGTTGACTTACGTTTTTATGGGATATTGAGAAAATTTAAATGAAGACTTAATTCAAAAGATATGTCTTTATAAGCGGTGCGTAGATGAAATAACTATTGGTGAGAGGCGTGAGGATCTGAACCGCTTGTTAAAAGTTCTGTATATAAAAGCCGACACGGACAGGGCAATATCTTAATTTCCATAGCCAATGTCCAATTCATTGCAAACGTGGTTTAATGAAGGGTTTGTTCAATAGGACTAATCATATTTATTCTAATGATTTATTATTCAGCGTGGTTTTCACATTTTTTTGTGTACTAAATTATTATTTGCTTTCGTTTACCTTTTACTTGTCTAGTAAACCTTTTATTTTTCATATAAAAATGTCCTAACAAGTATGTGTAGTCAGATTGTTCGAAACATGTTACTTTACACCAAGCGAAACATTCTCAAAAAGAAACACATGGCTCTGCTTAAGAATGGGATAAAAAATTAGTGTTTGAATAAGTTTTACAAAATGGAAGTTATTTTGTCTCATGTTCAGATCTAATACTTTTTAATGTATAAAGTAAAACAATTTCCAGTTGAGCAGTCTCAGTTTTTGATGCTTGAATTTGAAAACTACGTCTTTAATATGCCCGACGCAATTCAAACATCCAATAACATGATGACAAGTTATATACCGTAAGTGTCAGTAAGAATCTGAAGTCATTCAAGGATACTATGAACTTGTACCGGCTTAAAAAGTCGTTCAAATGTAATTCTCTTGGTGGGATTAAATGTAGGTTGAGGGAAATTGTCAGGCTATAACGTTGCTCCAACCTATAAAATCTTTTAGATTATCTATGCACGGGATATTAAGTTTCACAGTTGTTGGGAATATTATGTGATGCTTCATAGTTGGTTACACTGCTGTGTGTACATTCCCTCTGGCCACTAAAAATGTATTAATGTTAGTCTGCTTATGTTGGTATTCTTTTTAAATGCTGTTTAAAACAACTTTCAACAATACTTTTTTGGTTGGGCTTCTTTGTTTACGTGTACTTAATTTTCTCTTGGGACACAAATTAATGCCTTGTTATTACATAAGAAATAGTGTGTGTGGTATATAAAGAATTAATTACTGCAGTTAGTTCAATTATTAGACCATCAAGTGTATTTGACATGAATCGAGTTCATATGTGGATATATCGTGTTCATATTGCTTATCCGTTTATTTTTAAATGGATGCTTACTTCTTAGTAGATACATTAAATATTTTTTCTGCAAAATTCTTCAAAAGCTTTTTATTGATAGACTGATTTCATTTGATAAATCCTTGGATAAGAATATTACGGAGTCTAAATTTCAGGAAGTCATACTTAGCATCTTGATGATAATTTATCCACTACGAAACTATAGATATTTCTTGTCTAATCTCGGAAAAGCTCGATAATTATACTTATCATTACTTTTCCACTACTCCATACCTATTTGTTGCTTCTCAAAGTGAAACCTGTTTGTAATAAAAGCTACTGCCAGGACAGTATTGATTTCTAATCACAAAAAATTTACATTTTGGTTTTCCCGCAATTGATTTTTCACTTATCATATAGAATTTGTATTAAAGTCACTGTGTGAAATACTCATCAACAACTTTCCAAAAGAAAACACTCATAGTCTACTTCGAAAAATTGGTTTCTCTGATATCATGATTGAATCCTTGGAAAAACAGTTTCCCGGAGGTCACAACCACATTAAACGTTTAAAAGTTGCCTTTGAAGCTTGGACTGGTTTTTCTTTCGAGTATGAAAAGTTATGTTTAAATATAAAGTCTAGAGAATCATACTCTGGTCAACAACTAACCGATAGTAAGGATTTTAACACAACTGATATACTTGCTGAACCAGATAAAAAATTAGTGGTGCAGAATCAATCTCTGCAATCTGAACTGTTTGACACAAAAGACTCTTTCAGTTCAACTAACAAAATATTCAAGGAAACAAATTCAAATTTATATATCAATTCACACAGACTTTTACATATTGTACATTTAATTGGTTTGGATGAGTTACATTCAAAACTTATGCAATACGTACTACGTGCTCAGCAAGTACAATTTTGAACAGTCCAGTTAACTGACTAAATTAAATTTATTCGATCATTTTTTGTTACTTTACTATGTATACATTTTTTAAGATATCTTGTTTTCTTTGAAATGATTTCCTATAATGATTTATTTTATTGCCAATACTTTTAAAATATAATCCGTAATTTAGATAAAAAAGCACTTCCCTTTCTTCAAAACTTATTTTCTGTTTTTACTATTAACTAATCATCGGGATTTGAAGTATTTTATTCATATATTATTACCTGTTGTGCTTCACTGATGTGTTAGCATATAAGTAACTTGAAGCGAATCGTTGAGTAGCTATATCAAAGTAAAATATACAGTTTCTTTAGCTTAACGGATACACACTATTATTTGATTGCTAGTTTGTTCTGGTTATAAAGTAGTTTCAAATTTAAGGAATGCAGTCACTTAACATTCTACTACTAGATTTCAGGTTTTGAACTATGTTTCATCTATTTTGGTCTAATTAGTAGGCTAATTCTATGAGACTTAATGTATCTACCACGTACATGAACTCTTACTTGTTTGCTGTGCAGAATTTATTAGGTTATTTATTGCAAATAGGTAGTCAATTATTTTTTCATGATATATACTATTCGTCTTTTCTTATATGATCAAGGTATGAACATCTGTGCACATAGGCGTTATTTCAATTTTAATAGAGAAATAATATGAAGTAACTGTTGAATATTCTGTTCATTTCATTAAATAAATTATAATATGTCCTGACCTAGGTTTACATAGCTGTCCAATTCGCAATGGTTTTTTATTGCTTTTCCGATTCAGAATTCTGCTAAACATTTTTTATGGACCACAAAGGTTCCAGTGAATTAGATAGGTATATCTATCATTAGGTTATGCTATAGTGATGATAATAGTAATCTTACACCGCGATACTTTTGAGTTTTTTAAAAAATTACTTGGTGCACCACCAAACTAGTGATAATAGTTTGTTTAAACTTTTTAAAAAAGGTTTTGTAAAGTGGTATCATCAATATCGATTGGCAGCTTATTCATGTGATTTAGTCAATGGTTTATTGCATAAGTATGACTTTTTTGTGTTCAGTTGACAAGACTGCACTTTAGTTTTTAATCACATATAAAAGTACTCTCATCTTTTTTATTTTGGAAATTAATTTATTTTGAGGGTTTAATTCTACTACGGTAAATATCTTAGAAAAGAGTAACGAAAGGAAGTCAATTCTTAAATGCCTAATAGCGACATATTTTAAGTTTAATTTGTTGGTATTACTGTTTCATTTGTTGATGAACTAATCAAAATGAAGATGTCAGTATAAAAACTGTAATGATTCAGTATTGATGGCAGTGTAGTATTTCAAATAAATTAGCATTCATTTATGGAATTCGATCAGTAACAAGGACTGGATAACCTGATATATATTTCTACAAAGTGGTCAGTAAGTGCAAAGATGTTGGTTTCACGAAGTGCCAGTTTCGGCAGAAAATATTCATTGACAGCATCTCTGAGTGTCACATTGTGTAACTTTAGTTCGAATTCAACTGGCAACGTCAGTTCTCTCAGGACTACAGATAGGCTTGGGACAACGAGTTCCAACTTGAGCTTACCATGATTTCGGGCTTTTCTTCAGTGAACTTCAACCACTTAGCGTAGACTGTCGTCACTGTACGTGTAATATATATTCTTTCCATAATAACATAGGAAATTTCACAGAATATATGAATATTATGTAGGCTTTCTGAAAGCTAACCTGAATAAAGGGTATAGCCTAACTAATGTTGCCTCTCAGAAGCATAATTCCTATGGACACAGTTCAATTCATAATTATCAAATATAATAAGGTCGAAGACTGCTAAATCTGAATCATCTTTGCCCATGTAGTCTATAATCTGCATATGGTAGCGTAGACATGCACAGAAATGTCGATCTGTATTTATCAGAAAGCAACCTACAACCTTAATAAAAATTCTAACCGGAATATCATTTACCTAACAAATGACTTTCAAAAACCACTAATATTTCAGGTTTGTTGGTTGCAAAGTAATAATTAATAGAATGAAATACTACCCAAGCACCAAAAGAAGAAAAAATGTCGAGTTAATTTTCAGACACCAATGATATTAAGTTAATCAAGTTATATAATTAGTTTACGAACAAATCGAATTTAAGCTTGTTATGGCGTATGAGTGTGAATAATAAGCCAAATTCACCTTAAATTTTATACTGTAAATATTGTGTAAGTTATCGATGTATGCTTCATGTGAATAATATAACGAAAGGAAATAGATATTTATAACTTGTGGTCCATTTTCTGTTAAATTAAATTTTAATTGAATATTGAGAAACGAGTTAGTCGGGTTTTGTATACCTATGTTTGGTAAGCATTGAGAGTTAGTTATTTACGCCTGTTACCACTCGTGCAGGAGCATAGATCGCTCACCAGAATTCGCCCTCCAACTCTGTTCTGGACAACCTCTTACAGTTGCTGTTCGTCCTTTAATTAGCTGTTCCCAGTTCCCAATCCAATGCGTTCCTTGGTTTTCCTATTTGCCTTTTTCATTCATAATTGCAAGTCAGCGCTTGACTCATGATACAGTTAGATGATTTTTACAATGTATGTCCTATCCATCTTCACCGTCTCCCTAATGTCTTCAGTCGACAGCTGCTTTCTTCCCTTCCCACAAGGTTGTAGCTGATGGTATGCGGCCAACAAACATTGAGTACTCTGCACAAACAACTGTTTATAAATACCTGCACATTTTCGATAATGGTTGTGGTGGTTTTCCAAGTTTCAGCTCCGTACAGTAGAACTATCTTGACGTTCGTATTAAAGACTCCGAATTTAGCATTGGCTTGCAGACAGTTTTTTGAGTTCCATAAGTTCTTCAACTGTAGGAATTCAGTCCTTGCCTTTACGTCTGCATAATGTCAAGGAAGGTTCTGTAAGGTTCCCCTATGCACGTTGTCGAACGCTTTCTCATAATCAAGAAAGTTGATATATAGTGACGAATTCCATTCAATTGATTGCTCAACCGCGTTCCGCATTGTCACGATTTGGTCTGCACACGACTGATCCTCACGGGATCCAGTTTACTGATCTCGAGGTTGAACGTCTACAGAGTCTTTCGTCCAGTTCAGCAACACTTTGTGAAAATGGTTCCTGGTACCGATTGTAGTGTGATGTCAGTGTGGTTCTCACACTTGCTCAGATCTCGGTATCTTGGTGAGATATCCTTCTTCCCATTCTGTCCGCTCTCGTTCATCCTCCCACATCCTCCTGAATAGAGTGTGGAGCATGTTTACAGCTGTTGCAATACCAGATGTCAGTGCTTCAGGTGGTATGTTGTCAGGTCCTATCGCTTTTCAACTCTTAACTTGTCTGATGACCAGATATATTGGTTTTTCTGATGGTTGGTGGAATGACATCTACAGAGATATCTGTGTGTGCTGCTTCGATGTCCGGTGGGCTCAATAGGACTAGTCTGTTCAAGAGTTCCTCGAAGTGTTCCACTCATCTATTCCTCTATTCCTGACTCTCAGTGATTGGTTTGCCTTGTTTGTTCTTGATCGGTTTCTCTGGTTTACTATACTTCCCTACTAGTTTCATTGTGTCATATAACAATTCAATCTTTCCGAACACACTGACATCGATTGTTGAGCCAGTATATTCGCATGCATCAAGAGTGTTTTGATAAGATACACATCCTTCTTTGTGCTTTTGTAGGATTATATAACTGCGTGCTAAAAGAACCGCCTGTAACCATTTTGTTGAATGCACCCAAATTGCAAACATGTTACCATTCTCGTTCCTTACTTTCAATCAATGTCGTTCCATGACATCTTCACACCCGGTGTGAATCGTATTGTGAATGTCTAATTGATATTTTGTATCAAATTCAAGAAAAAAATAAACAATCGAATATTTACAAGAGAATTTTATGAATATTTATCATAAATTAATTGTGATTTTATAAGATAAAAAACATACTGTTTTATTGTTCATGAATAATTTCATAGTGAACAAACTGTGAATAACTAACTTTTTATAAGCAAAGATGGATAGTGGCTAGCAGTGGAATCCAGGACGCGCGTTTCGTCCTATTTGGGACTCGTCAGCTGGATGTACCTGCATCTCTGAGTTGATGTTCACTCCGGGACTCGAACCCAGTACTGTCCGCTTCAAACGCCATCGCGTTATCCACTTAGCTACTGAGTCCTGATAGCCACTTGCTTGTGCAATGGGGTGAAGTTTAATTCACTTGATATTGTTTTATTTGAATCTTCCCATTGATGTTTAGGACTGAAATTGTTTAGTCTCTTATTGGCATATGTGCATACTGTGCATATGCCTCGATATTGCCTTAATTTACAAGCATTATTAGCAAAGATGGATAGTGGCTAGCTAAGTGGATAACTCGATGGCGTTTGAAGCGGACGGTACTGGGTTCGAGTCCCGGAGTGAACATCAACTCTGAGATGCAGGTACATCCAGCTGACGAGTCCCAAATAGGACGAAACGCGCGTCCTGGATTCCACTGCTAGCCACTATCCATCTTTGCTAATAATGCTTGTAAATTAAGGCAATATCGAGGCATATGCACAGTATGCACATATGCCAATAAGAGACTAAACAATTTCAGTCCTAAACATCAATGGGAAGATTCAAATAAAACAATATCAAGTGAATTAATTAACTTTTTAGTTTGTAAATTAATGTTCATTTCACTTCCATAATATATACTTTCATAGATAATTGTTCAATCAAATTGAATGGTCAGTAATTTGAAACACACATAAACAAATAATAAATATGCATATATATATATATATATATATATATATATATATATATATATATATCACGGTTAAACTACAGTACTCGAACAAGTTAATTAGAACCAAGAAAACAGCTTTTATCTTCTATCTAGAATTCAACAATGAATGACTTACATTACATGAAAAGCGCAACAAAAATACGCCTGTATAACAATCAAAATATTTTAAATTAGGAAAAAATTTTTTGTCACCTTTTTTACCTGTAGATTGAACATAACACGTAAATCAGCCAATTTTTTGTTCCAATTTACGTTTTTCATAGTACACTCACGAAGAGATAATGTTAGTAGTGGCTCCGTGATAATAGACTAGGTAA